AAGGCCAGGGAGGATACGCCATGGCCTCCTGAGTCCCCTGCTCCGCCATGGCTCCCTGATCCGCCCCGGAGGCTCTCCTTGTCTCCACCCTGTTCCAGTCCTGCACCAGCCTCCAGGGAGCCCGCCCCCCCTCCCTGATGGTACTGTTACGGCGCGGGGCGATCTGTCGCGTGTATGTTCCCTTGTAGTTCCTGTTTTCCTTATTTGGTCCTTCCTGTCCCAATGTAGTTTCATTTGTTCCAGGTGTGTCTCAATATTAGTTATCCTCCTCACCTGTCTGCCCCTCATTATCTGCCCTATTTAGTTCTAGCCTGTTCTGAGTTTCTTTGTCTGGGATCCCCTGTCAAGCCCAGGGAGGGCTCCTGATCCCCAGTCAAGCCCAGGGAGGGCTCCTGATCCCCAGTCAAGCCCAGGGAGGGCTCCAGATCCCCAGTCAAGCCTAGGGAGGGCTCCAGCCCCAGAGCTCGCTCCAGTGTCGGCTCCAGCACCAGAGCTCGCTCCAGTGCCCGCTCCTCCAGAGCGCCCCCCAGGATTCCTAGATTTCCCCAAGAACATTTTTTGGGGGGGGGCTATATACCCATGGCCGAGCCCGCTAAGGCCACGGAGGATCCGCCATGGCCTCCTGAGTTCCCTGCTCCACCATGGCCTCCTGAGTCCCCTGCTCCGCCATGGCTCCCTGATCCACCCTGGAGGCTCTCCTTGTCTCCACCCTGTTCCAGTCCTGCACCAGCCTCCAGGGAGCCCGCCCCCCCTCCCTGATGGTACTGTTACGGCGCGGGGCGATCTGTCGCGTGTATGTTCCCTTGTAGTTCCTGTTTTCCTTATTTGGTCCTTCCTGTCCCAATGTAGTTTCATTTGTTCCAGGTGTGTCTCAATATTAGTTATCCTCCTCACCTGTCTGCCCCTCATTATCTGCCCTATTTAGTTCTAGCCTGTTCTGAGTTTCTTTGTCTGGGATTGTGTTTGTCAACTCCTTGTGCTACTTGTGATTCCCTGAAAAAAAAGAATTAAACTCCTTTGTTTTGTACTCCTGGTCTCCTCGTTCCTCGATCCGTGCTCCTCACAGTAGCAACCCGTGACAGTAGTAAGACTAATATCAATGTACTAGTAGTGTATTTGTATTTACTTCTTCAGCATTTTACTATTTCAATGGAACTAAACTGACCCACTTTTTAATAAAAACATATAAATCCTTTTAAGTGTACCAGTAGTAAATTCCGAGTACAACTAGTTTCCAGCTAAATTTTAGCTAATTTTAAGCTTCTTTTTTTTTTTTTTTTACAGACGTGCAGTAAAATTGACTTTAAAGATTCACTTTTCATTCATGAAGATGACATGGAAAAAAATGATCAAAAATGTGTCTTGTGATGGGAAACAAAAACGTTTAAGATGAAAATGACATGAAATTACCATTATAACAAGTATGATGGCAGCACAGGATCACTCATTAGCTCAGTTGCCATTTCAACAACCTAGGTTTTTTTATTTTCTCCCATCTTGCTTTTGAATTTAATTTTAGTACTTTTACTGTAAGTAAGTATGACATATTGCAAGTGCAGGAAGTCACAGTCTCATGTCATTAACTAATGTCAATAAATAAATGCATATGCCCAGACACCAAATGCCTAGAAGGGATAATTATTTTAATAATTAATATTAAATTATTAATTTAAATTATTAATTCAATTATTATTATTAATATTAATAATTAAAACTAGTTAACTTTGCTCGTTTGCATCACATGAGAAACACTCAGAACAACTCAGTGAGTTGAACTGTCCGAATGATTCAGAAGGAATTCACCTGTGTGATTGATTCATTGATAAGAACTGACTCAAACTCTGATTTGTTTTCTAATCAGGCATCACTACCTTTGATTCTAAATATTACTGGAATATAATAAAAACATCTGAAATACTGATGAAATACTGTAATATCACATGTGCGGCACAACACTGGGCTGCTCTATGAAAACACAATATACTGTATATTTGTCTTGTTAAAACTAGAACTCCACCTAAGAGAGATCAGAAGTCCAAGTGGAGATGTTAACACAAACTCTGACCCCACAAAAACATTAGTCGAGCTGAACAATCTTGTGAAGAGGAAGAAGACAAGGACACTTACTGAGCGAATCATCCTGTTCCTCTCGTCACCGCTGCAGCAGATCCGATCTGATTCTGAAAAAAGAAAAATATTGAGACACATTAGAAATCTGAGAAATGACACGTAACACAACCGACTGAACTACACAAGGAAAAATGCAAGTGTTTCTATTCTAACTACTCAGTGTTTGTGATTCATCAAATCAGATCGGCAGAACATTAGAGTCCAACAGAAAGCAGATCATCTGAAAGGGCAAAACTCAAATATGAAAGTTTAGAAGCAGATCGTGTCTCTTCAGAAGACTTGTATTAAACCACTCCATTCATACGGATTGCATTAACAATGACTTTATTAATTTTTTGAAGCATGAAACGGATAGACAAAAATTATGAGAGAATATTAATATTAATATCTTAATTTTGAATATGAACAAAAGCCACAGGTTTAGAGTAAATGATGACAGAATGATCATTTTTGGGTGAACGATCTCTTTAAGATCCGGATTCACTCAGAAGTGCATGAGTCTCCTCCAGATGAATCAGAGCTTGATAGCATGTACACTAGCCAGGGCGACTCAAAGCGGTGTTTTGGGAAGCCCGTGTTATTCAGATTCCCATGAGCCTCTGCCGGTGGGAAACCCCAGCAGAACACGCCGACCTCAGAGACTCACATCTGCATTCGCATCTTGCTTGTCTCAAAGTCTCAGTGATGTTGGGTTAGCATTAGCCTGGAGCCCGCTAAGAGTGCTAATGAAACAAAGATCAGCTTTTGGCCTGTATTGTGGCTGCTGTGTTTCTGAACTGGAGGGTGTGTTTCGCTTTAACTCTCAACAGCAGTGGAACTAGTTCAGATTAGCGGTGAGAAAGTTCTGCTGCAGAAAAACTCAAACCAGCTGTAGGGTAATTAAGCTAAATGGAAGATTGCAAATGACTGCAAAACAATATTTCAACTCGTGCGCTGAGAACTCCCTCTTCAGCAACGGCAGTAAACTAGAGGCCATTCAAGAGGACTTTGGAAATTAACACACTAGCAGGGCCCCATGAAGTTATATTGCACAGTATATATCCCAAAATCCATTTTTCATTTTCCAAAATTCTGTAATTTTTCCCCGTTTTAACTTTTTCTGGACTCTTGAAATCATAAAACTTACACAATTAAACAACATTTTATTAAACGCTTAAAAAAAAAAATACAGGGCCATATGAAATCATATGAAAAACAATAACAATTTAATCAATCTTTTAAAAAGTAATCAAACAAAAATATAACAATTCAGTTTTTTTCACACAGACATATGCACGTTTCCCTCATTGTGGAAACCATATGGTTTACAGCAGTCAGCGCTCATAAACACTCACTGGAGACACTACAGCGGCTCGATCCTGACTCAGCTGTGACAGGAGGTCAAACACAGGGAATGTCAATATTTCCAATAGCAGAGACAAAGACATCGTGACTATTTGTTCTTGGTCTGGTTTCCCAGGCCTCCCTGCAGTCATCCTCCAAACACACAGTGACTCACTCCAGTAACTCTGAAACACCAGAAACTGAAGGAAACGCTCTGGAGGTTACAGCGAGAGTGTTTCAAACACAGCAAGGCTCTGACTGTAACGTGAGCGCTGTGACATCAGAGCCATGGGATGCTTCATCTGTCCGCTCTTGCTGTTAGAGACACAGAGCGTCAGTCGTCTTTAATAATGAGCACTCACACAGCCGTAATAATGGGGAACCTGTACTGTGGCTGCTGTGTTTCTGAATTGGAGGGTGTGTTTCGCTCTAACTCTCAACAGCAGTGGAACCAGCTCAGATTAGCGGTGAGAAAGTTCTGCCGCAGAAAAAAACTGAAACCAGCTGTAGGGTAATTAAGCTAAATGGAAGATTGCAAATGACTGCAAAACAATATTTCAACTCGTGCGCTGAGAACTCCCTCTTCAGCAACGGCAGTAAACTAGAGGCCATTCAAGAGGACTTTGGAAATTAACACACTAGCAGGGCCCCATGAAGTTATATTGCACTTCAT